TGATCGAGATGTCATCGATGTATTGACAAATAAATCTGTAAGTACATTCCTAATAAAATTTTGAATTAGTGCATCGTACTAGAAAAGCTTATATGTAACCTACGTATGTGTATGATAAAGTAAACAACATTCATGTGTAAATATGCAATTGCTTTAAGAAGCTCAATTAGGCAAAATCACGTAAATATATATATGCAAATTATCCTTTTTCTTACTCATTTAACCTTTTTTAACTAACAGGGAACTCGAAATGTTGAAGGACTCGCTCTACATTTGCAAAGCTATGATGAGGCTAGTTTCAGTACAAAAGCATTTGCTAAAATGAAGAAACTTAGACTGCTTGACCTCAGCAGCGTAGAGCTCAATGGAGAATACAAACATCTTCCCAAAGAGTTAATATGGCTGAGCTGGGAACGATGCCGTTTAAAGTCCATACCAGATGACTTTTTTAATCAAGATAAACTAGTTGTTTTAGAGATGCGGTGGAGCAAACTGGTACAAGTTTGGGAGGGTTCCAAGGTACAATGAATTATACCTGATGATGTTCTATTTCGATTTGTTTTTTGGATTTCTTCTCTTTTTTTATAACATCTTCATTTCAGATATTAATTTCAATTTTCTTGTGATTTTTTGCAACAGTCGCTACATAACTTGAAAACCCTTGATCTCCACGGTTCCGATTTCTTAGAGAAATCACCGGACTTTTCACAGGTCCCAAATCTTGAAGAGTTGATATTGGTATGGTGTAATAGTTTGTCCGAGATTCACCCCTCCATTGGTCATCTTAAAAGACTTTCTTTGGTGAACCTTATGGGATGTTTTAAGCTTATTTCTCTTCCAAGGGATTTCTATAAATTGAAATCTGTTGAGACTCTTCGTCTTACTATGTGTTTGAATTTCAGAGAAGTGCATGAGGATATAGGGGAGATGGTATCACTGAGAACACTTGAAGCAGAGCATACAGCCATAAGAGAAGTACCACCTTCCATAGTAGGATTGAAGAATCTCACTCGTTTATCTCTGGAGGGTACTGTGAGGGGTATTCAATTGCCCCATTCGTTAAGAGAATTCAATCTCTTATCACGCTATGATGATGCAGTCCCTAAGGATCTTGACTGTCTAATTTATTTACAACATTTGCATCTTCAAGGTAATAAGTTTCATAGCTTACCAAACCTCAGTGGTCTTTCAAAGCTCGAAACATTGTGGTTAAATGGAAGCAAATATCTTCGTACAATCCCTGATTTACCAACAAATTTGAAAGTTCTATTTGCCGATGCTTGCCCTGCATTGGAAACAATGCCAGACTTTTCAGAAATGTCAAATATGAGAGCACTGAGTGTAAGTGATTCACCCAAACTCACTGAGGTTCCAGGCTTGGATAAGTCATTAAACTCCATGGCGTGGATTGACATGAAAAGGTGCACTAAACTCACAGTTGATTTTAGGAAGAACATTCTACAGGTATCTCTCTCTCCATCTCATTGCCTTCCTATCATGCGCATACATGTATACATATACATATATATACATATATATATGACACTTGTATTGTATATATAGGGATGGACTTCTTGCGGATTTGGAGGCATTGTTCTCCATGGGAATTATGTTCCTGATTGGTTTGAGTTTGTCAACAAGGGTACTAAAGTCAGTTTTCATATTCCCCCGACCGATGATCGTAATTTTGAAGGGCTAACTCTGTTCTGCTTGTTCCGCGTATACAAATGGAAACATTTACCTCATCTTGACATTACTGTTATAAGTAATACCAAACTTACTAAGTTGCAGGCCTACAGATCCAAAGGAGGTGCTGGGGCTGAGAATTATGAAGATGATTATCTTTGGCAAGGACAACTCTCGAACAATGAGCTCAATTTGCAAGGCGGGGATAAAGTTGATATAGTTTTTGAAGATCCATGGGCGAATGGGGATTATTCTGTTAAAATAATGAGAACAGGGGTTAATCTAGTATGGGACAAACTTATGAAGGAAAATATGCATGATTTTAGGGACACTAAATATCTTTTTGACTGAGATCCAGATGAGGGAGGACCAAGCCATGACGCATCTGATAAACTCGTTTGTGCAGAATGAAGGTGAAAGCATCACAGTCAATTCGTCAAACACCTCACCATTTTTCGCTTTCCTAGTTTGATAACGGAGGCTAGTCCATATTTCATGTTTTTTTTTCAGATTCCTATGATTTTTTCAGTTAGCTTTTTTGAATTTTGAATTTATTGCATCAAGTAACATTTCACATTACAACAATCAATATAAGACTTTCACCCAAATATTTGATAAATACTACTCGAATTTGCCCAAATACTTGCCCTTGTTCCGCCACATATTCAAGGAATTCACTTTTAAGGTTAGAAAGAAAATCAATGATATCCTCAAGATGCCAATCAATGGTTTCTACGACCTTTTCATTAATCTTGACTTGCCCTGACATGTTAGCAGAAGATTGACTCTACATTTACTAAAAGATTTATTACCTTTTCTAATACCTTTGCAGTCGATGAACTCGTTTGCGCATTAAAAAAACAGTGTTCTGTTGGATTCTCCAAAACTTTAGAAGGAAGTTGTTTGTAAGATTGTAGAGCTGTTCCCGTTAAGATAAAAAATCTCATTTGCAAGACTCAGAAATGATGGATTGCTCAATAGAATATCTCGGAAATTTTCTCCACTTCCCTTCCACTCTGAGTCTCTGACTGATGAGTTCATAAGCTTCAGTCTCTGATTTTAGTTTCTACTAGTGATGCTGCAGGTTTTAAAACCATATAAAACATGTCAAAAGTTCTAAGTATATATACGATATGCAATATTTCCATACATGTGATTCATGTCTTCTTAACCATTGACAGAACAAACTGAAAAAATGAAAAGCAAAAATATGAATTGTACATGAAATTGTGTTCAATCCAAAAACTACAATTCAGAAGGATAAATATACATGCGCTTTGCAATTTCATTTCTCAGTTCTACTACTGCTACTTGTTCTAAACACGGTCAACTTCGACTGTTCCCTACTTTATGAGTGCTAATTACATCCCTTACCTGAAAACCAATTGCAAACACCAGGCCATTATCAGTTTCTTTGGCCCTTACAAAACACATTTGCTACATCTAAATGTTGTGTCCTTCTGTAAACGCCATCAAGTTAAGATGTCACACAGACACAGTAAAAAAAATAAATGAACACAATAAATATAGCTTACATATGTTTGTGGACTTCAATTTAAAAAAAAAAAAAAAAGAGAACTTTTTGTTGGGGTAACAAACTCTATCGGACTTACAAAAAGAGTATCTATTACGACACAACGAGAAAAAACTCTTGTTCAGCAAATCAGTGCAAATGTAGCTAAACCACCAAAATTCTAATATTGAAAGCTACGGTTTCACCTTGACCAATATACATATCAAGAACAAAAATTACCTGACAGAGTAAAGTGTGATGAGAATAAAAGGAATGACAAAGTCAACAAGACCCTCCTCTTCCCCTCCCTCTACTACTCTGCTGTCCCCTTCCTCCTCTTCCTCTCCCTTCATAATCTCTGTCATCTTCTTTTTGGTAGCTAAACATGCTCATTTTAATATTCTCTGCATCCACCACATCATGAGAACCCTTTTGTACCTGAAGTTGCAGCACAATAACGTCAGAAATCTTGCAATACAACAATAATACCAATTTTAATGATCAGAAGATGCTGACACGCTGACATGATAATCATCCAAATCAAATTGATTTTGGAGCTGCCGTGCAAGTTCCTCCTCACGACAACTACTTGTACAGGCACCTCCAATTGAAGGCTTTGCCTGGCTTTTTTCTTTTCTCATACATGCAAAGTGAACACCACGGGCTCTTCCTCTTGCCTCCCGTTCCCCCCAAACTGTCTGCCTCTTGAATGCTTGTCATCCCGGTTTCGATGACTCATTTTTTGAGGAAGCTTTTGTGCGGCTGCCTGGTTTTGAACAGGGATTGCTGTGGAAGCCATGAATATATCAATATGAAATTACAAAGTGAAAAAATGTAGAACATTTATAATAAATAAATAAATAAGTTTAACTAAATGTGTTTCTTGTGTGATTCAAGTATAAGTCCATTACAGACAAAACTTAGCAGAAATGTGGTTTTCCCTCTGTTTGTACCATACTTGACTAATCCCGAAACCTGAGAGTTTCTTCTCAACAAAAGGCCCTTCAATGGCGAACAATGCGACATCAGCTCGCATAAAGCTTTCACTGCCGACACTGTAACATCAGAAGCCATCACAAAAGAATGTGTGTCAATATAGCAAAACTAGAAACTCTCTCTGCTATAATAGGGATCAATTCATCCACAATAATGCGAATGTCATTTTGTACTAAACTTATTCATAGAACTCACTAAAAACCAGAGCTGTAGCTTGTACTTTCAGGTAAATTAAGAGAACTCTCTACTCGTGAGCCAATCTGGTGAACACGTACATCTGTGTTTGCTTTCCTCTTTCTATTGCTTAACTTATGGTCACCAAGCAACAAGCTTAGGTTGACGCTTGTTAATCAACATTTCGCCGTTGTGGGCGGCACGGTGGAACTTATTCTTTTTTGGGCTTGTCACATACAAGCACCTAACGAAGCCAAAAATGTTATGTGACAAACGGATCCAGATGAAGAAACAACAGGTTGCATGAAGAACTCGGAATATCATGGGTTTGCTGTGCAATCAACTCTCTCTGCCCTCAAGGAAACATCACAATGTAGCTAACTTTAAGCCGGAGAGTTTCTCGAGTGAACGTCGTTTCCTAAGCCTCGATAATCCTTCTCTGGCGACTCGTCTCCAGAGGAATCGGCAACCACTTTATTGGTGACGTATTATCACTCTGTACCGAGAATGACGAAAACGGCGATTCAGGTACACAGGGCCTTTTGACAGGGGACAAGCTACTCTTCCCCCAACTTCCTGGTGACGCAACGTACGCTGCACTACAATTCGAGTCTTACCACCGACAGTAAGGCTCATTTGAGAGAGCAAAGGAAAGATCACAATATCTCCTACACCCTCTTCACGCCGATGGGTACATCAGGAACCGATGATCAAAACTTATGCATCATGTTTCAAACCTTCCAGCCGAAGTCATTACCTCTCCGTCCCCAGGAGACATTCTCTCCTACGCTGTCGCAAAGAGATCCAGACCCTTCCCACTCGGGGCTTTCACTGCAGCGACGTGAACTGTTTCATTCACAGCACCAGCACCCGCAAACGAAGAACAGGGAAGGAAGGGTGTCCAACAAGGACCAACCAAACTGCCGTGAATAGGGAAGGCACATCCATCAAGCGGAAATCGGGTTGTTCAAGCTGATTCTCTAAACAGCAAGGACGCCGAGGTCTTCGCTTCGCAGTCAATTCAAGGCCAATTGTCAGCATTCTAGCCCACTTCAATTTAATGAATACAAAACAATGGACCGGTATCAAGGGCAAATGAACTCTCGTCGCAGGCTCTGCAGGATATGTCAAACAAGTCAATATCAGCTTCGAAACTGCAATATGTGCATGTACCCACATGGGTAGCAGTTCAGTTCTGCATTATTCTTAGAAAATTCCGCACGTGGAATTGAAGTTCCTTGCTTTCAAGGATAACGTCTTAGAGAATCTTCCAATAGGCCACAAGCTGAACGAAACGAGACATCACACTCAAGAGGAACCCGAGGGATCCAATATTACCTGCTTCCTCTTCACATTGATGTTATGATGTGACTCTACACAAGTCAGGGTTTGTTTTATTTAGCTGCACGACGCTTATCTCTCCAGGATATCGGCTTACCAAATATGCTCCCCCTCAGACTAGAAGAGACGTATGCTCAACACTCTGGGGCTAAATGGGCGTATCGTGAACATCTCCTTCAACACATAAAATAAAGCAGTCCGGAAGCAACTGGCATCAGAGACTCTCGGTCAATACCATGTTGTTATTGGCGAACAAAGAAAGAGCATTAGAAGAAGCTCATCTTGAAGTAGAGCTAGTCATACCCATGCATGGAGTCTGTTGCAATCAACCACCCTACTGAAACTTTCAACCAAGTCTCTAACTAAGGTATCACAAACTATGAGGGGATGGAATACAACGTTTTTGCCTTCAATTACGTGGGCAATGGCGATTACACGATTGAGAACCTTCTATATAATGCTGTTTGGCCAGTCCCAATCCCCAAAAGAATGAAATCTGAAAGCCAATAACTATCAAGACAATCTTCAAGGCCTTTAGTCTGATTAAACGCTTGAAAGGCACCTATCTCCAGCTTCTAATCTCAGCAATTACTGGCAGGTGGCAGCAGATGTGCTACTTCTTCAAAGCACTCAAGGCACATGGCGGAGGAATGTGCCAAAGGCATCAGGAACTCAAAGAGAACATGAGTAAAGCCCCTCTGCTCTCTCCAAACAGAAGTTGTGACACTCTCTCATCATCTATCTGATCAACAGCAGCAAGCGCTTGGTTATTCGCGAAGGAATGGACAGTGGTGTCGAACGGCCCGTCTACTACGCTAGCAAGGCCCTACAAGATGCGGAGACACGATACTCTAACATTGAGAAATTAGCTTCAGCATTGGTCATGTCTGCTCGGAAACTTCGCCTTTATTTCCAAGCACACGCCATCATCGTGCTTACCAATCACCCTCTTCGACAGATACTCCAGAGTCCTGACACGTCTGGACGAATGATCAAATGGGCGATAGCATTGGGTGAGTTTGACATCTCCTACCAACCAAAACCAGCCGAAAAAGGTCAAGCAGTAGCAGATTTCATCGCCGACTTCACATATCCTGTTGACATTGCTTCTACACCTGAAGCAGTAGCTTCATTACCATCGGAAGCTCAGAAAGAAAGTAGAATCAACGACCCCAGCATGGAGAGTCTGTATGTTGATGGCTCATCCAACCAACAGGGCTGCGGAGCAGGATTAGTCCTCACTACCCCCGACAAAGTGGCGATGGAATACGCTCTTCGTTTCAAATTCAAGGCATCGAACAACGAGGCCGAATACGAAGCCCTTCTAGCAGGCTTGCGTTTGGCCAAACACCTTGGGGTTAAACGAATTGATATCTTCAGTGCCTCCCAATTAGTGGTCAACCAAGTCACAAACAACTTTGATGCTAAGGATAGCTCCATGGCAGCATATCTTGCGCAAACGCGACTTTTGCTCAAGCACTTCCACTACCAGATCACCCAAGTTCCTCGAGCGGCAAACAGTCATGCAGACGCTTTGGCTCGCCTCGCCTCGGCAGTGGAAGACAAGATTGGGAGAAAAATTCATGTCGAATTGTTGGCAGAACCAAGCACCATGGTCGCGAAGGTGTACAATTTACAACAAGAAGATAGTTGGATCACCCCAATTTATAAATTCCTTGCTCATGGCACCCTCTCAATTGACAAAGTCCAAGCTAAGCAGATTCGATACAAGTCTGCCCGCTACCTGATCATTAATGACCAACTCTACAAGCGCGGTTTCACCCTGCCATACCTAAGATGCCTTACACCTGCGGAGGCGAAAATTGTCCTTCGGGAAATACATGAAGGAGTCTGCGGAGATCATGCTGGGTCTCGATCCCTAGCTCACAAGACTTTTCGCCAAGGATACTATTGGCCAACACTCCACCAAGATGCCATCAGAATATCTCGCTCATGTGATAAGTGTCAACGCTACGCAACTATCCCTCACTCCCCTCCCGAGCCGCTCACTCCTATGATCAGCCCTTGGCCCTTCGCCCAATGGGGACTTGATTTGATCGGCCCAATGCCTGCAGGGAAAGGCAAGGTCCGCTATGCAATCGTTGCAGTTGATTACTTCACAAAGTGGGCTGAAGTAGAACCCTTGGCAACCATTATTGAGGGAAAAATAGAAGACTTCGTATGGAAGAACATCCTCTGCAGATTCGGCATTCCCAATGCGATAGTCACGGATAATGGGCGGCAGTTCGACAACAAGAAGTTCAAGATGTTCTGCTCTAAGTTCAACATCAACTTATGTTTTGCCTCTCCAGCCCATCCCCAGTCTAACGGACAAGTCGAGGCCGTTAACAAAATAATCAAGCGCACTCTGAAAACTAGCTTGGACAAAGCTAAAGGTTGTTGGCCAGAATTCGTACCCCAAGTCCTTTGGTCATACCGCACTTCATATCGGACTTCCACAGGAGAAACTCCATTCTCACTTGCTTTTGGTACAGAAGCAGTTGTCCCAGTTGAGCTTGAGCAAGCAACATACCGAATCCAGAACTACATACAGAGTGAGAACGACAAGCAACTCACCCTCAACCTGGATCTAGTCGAGGAACACAGAAATCAGGCTCACCTAAGGAATGTCGCCTACAAGCAGCGCATCTCCAACTACTACGACTCAAGGGTCAAACCTCGCTCTTTCAAAGTGGGAGACTGGGTACTGAAGAAAAGATTACTCTGTGATACAGTCCCGAGTGAAGGAACACTCAGTCCTAACTGGGACGGACCGTTCGAGGTCGTCGGCATCAGTCGCCCTGGCTCCTACAAGCTCAGAAACTCTGACGGCAAGACCCTTGGCCATCCATGGAATGCTGACCACTTGAAGTACTATTACAAATAAGACTCACATTGTACAAGTGTTAAGCTACAGCCGTTCGGCATCCTATGTAACAAAGACCATTTGGTATGAATTCAATAAAGAGGTGATTTAGCCAACTCGGCCATAAACTCTTTTCCATTCTGAGCAATGAAACACTCAAGTGTTGAAGCTTCAACGCAAATGTTTCCAATACAAAACAAAATCTAAGTATGTGTCAACAAGACTATACAAAGGATCTACATCATACATTCCAACACATTCATACATAAACATCATATATTCCAACACATTCATACATAAACATCATACATTCCAACACATTCATACATAAACATCATATATTCCAACACATTCATACATAAACATCATACATTCCAACACATTCATACATAAACATCATACATTCCAA